TAACAAACCCCACTGTGTCAGGAGGAGCACTAACGACTCACATAACGAGGGGGAGGAGCAACAAACCCCCAATTGAAACTCAGGTGCTAGTGGCTCCTTAAGGATATCTGGAACTCCCAACGAGTCAGTCAGAGCTGATGAAGCCTCTTGGATGAGAGGTGGAACGTCTTCAAGGAAGTCAAGCAAGTCCAGTTGCTACGATTAATCTACGAGAAAAACTGTTAATAAATTGATTACTGTGAGCAGAGATGGGCTCAAGTCCAGCAAGATGATACTGCATCAAAACATCTGATAATATCTACAGTATATCACTAATTAATTACTTTGGTACGTTAAGCACATCTACCGTCGATATCATTACTGCCAGTGTTTTTAGTTAATTAACATTTTGAAGGCAGGACTTTTACTTGTAATGGAGTATTTTTGGCACAGTGTCGGTACTGACCTGCCATTTCTCAAAATTTAATTGATCTAATTAATTCAAGTAGAAAACTCCCCTGGCCAGGTGAGAGCCAGAACATTTTAAATCTTAACAGTACATCAAATCAACCAAATCATGCTTCAGTATCAGAATTAAGCTCTTAATAGCATCCAAGACTCTACTCATGTGGTTTAATGATGCTGGTGGAGAGCAGAATACGACTTTTAATTTTCTTCCAGAGGCCTGTTGAAGTCGTCTCACCCTCGTTCATATTGTTGAAATAACAGGAAAGGAACAACCTTGAAGAATAAGAGATCTTCACCTAAATCCAGAGACCTGACGTCAGCAGCATCACGTCCGACTGAGAGCGGACCACCTTGTCAGTGAAAGGTCACCGTTTGGACTCGCGTGTCAAGTTAAAATGCCCTCGTGTGAAACTCTCCGGCCCTTGTTCCTCACTCCTTGTCAGATATTCTTAGTGAGCATCAGCAAAATGCAAATCGGGACGTTTTTTTTTACAGCCTCGTTGGCAGGCAGCTGCTCTGACTGTTTTTTTTCCTGCTGTGGAAGTGATTTGAGGGCAGCTGCAGCTCGGACGTTTAAGAGTCAGACTCGGGACTGGACGGATGCCCGTTTGAAATGACTTGTTGACTGAAGAACAATCAGACACACTCTCAGCAGCGAGAGGCAGCTGGCACCTCATCAGCATTTCCTCTCTATATGTGGGTTTTAAGATTAATTGTTCTATTGTGGCACTAAAACAAGCTCCACACGACACCGTACGGACTTTAAACATGTCAGATGACCCTGTCGCTCCTTGATTTTTCTAATGATCTATCTGTTCCAAGCACTTTCCATCAACCTTAACTTGACTTTGAGTGATGCATCAGTAGAGGAGCACTCGGGCCGATTCAGCTAAATTCAGAAGACATACAGTTTTGGTTTCCGTGCTTTCAAAATGAGCTTAAAGTGGATCAGCGGGCAAATAAAACATGTTTTTAATCAACAAGTCTGATACATTTCAAGTAAGCTTTAAAAATATCGATATTTTCTGAAAGGCGTCCACTGGTTTGTCAGCGAGCTTCCTGCAGATGCACCATCACTGTTCCCACAAAGCTTGACGAGCGCCCTGTCCTCGCTCATCTGGCGCCAAATTTCCCATCCTCCCCCTCTTCCCATGTCACCGAGAGAGTAATCACCCTCTGGCCCCTCATCCCTCTCAATAACACACTCACGGTCAATCTGCCGGACGGAGAAATCCCCCCTCTCGCCAGATTACAGCGGCCGGCCGGCTGGGATTAGGTTTAACCGGCGACAGGACTCGTGTTATTCTTATCATTTCCACTTCCTGAGTGCACACACAGATGCTACGAGCTAAGCAGCCGAGGCCGACTAAACAAACACAACCAAGAACATCTTTCTAATTTCGAGTCCAACGGTAAGAGATTAAAAAAAAGAAAAAACGTGAACCATACAACACAAAGGATCCGAGCAGATTGAAGAAACGTGAAGCGACATCAGCACTTCTGTGATGTCACCATAAACTGTCATTTACACACTGTGGAGGTTTTGTGTGCAGATGTTTTGCGGCAGCGTCCCTGATCCCAACACAAAGGCAAGAGACGGATAATCTGGTTCCGTCTCTCGGAGCCGCAGATTGTGAAAAACATGATGAGAGGAAGTGCAGCAACAAACCCCGTCTTCAGATTACATCTAGACATTCACTAGAGGCTGTGGAGCAGTTTTACTTGTCAGATGTTTAGAATCTTAGAGCAACAGTAATGAAGCTTACATTTATTTTGCTGGTTTCTTTATTTTAATGGCTTTAATCGGATCTATATTAACTCCACGCTGGATTTACAGTGAAGTCACAGTGATTCTCTAACAGTGGATGTGCCTTTTAAAACAGCAGGTGATGTAAAAAACAAGATAAACAAGGTCAGGATCCCTACCTTCATCAGTATCTTTATCGCTGCAACCTATAAATGAACATAAGAAGCAGCAAGAACAATTACAACACAAAAAAACACAACAACCTGGTTGCATACACGTGCACATCCCTAAACAACTACTGAGTTGATTTAGACGTCATCAGGGCACTTTTTGGGTAAGACTCAGTCAGTTTGGTGCACATATTTTGCCATTCTTCCCTGCAAATCGCTTTTTTTTTTTTATTCTTTCAGGCAGTGGTTCTCAAACCTTTTGAGCCACGACCCCCAAGATAACATAAGTTTGTGTTCGTGACCCCCCAGTTTGAATTTTTAATATCTGATGAGTAATAACTTTGTTATGCGTTAAAAAATAATGTGTTAATTCCACAGATTCATCTCTTTACATTAACTCGTTAGTTTTCTTTTGAATGAATTTATTTTGAACAAACGAAAGGAAAAAATATTTAAAAACAAAAGAAAATCATTTTAAAAAGAGCAAAAAAGTATAACAATATGGCATAATCAAATCACAATATTAACAAGTTCAAAAAAGGAGTGGGAACAAGTATACACTTTTAATTTTGACAGCCCTAATAAAAATCTATTTGATAAATGTGGACTTTATTTTTTATTTACAATGATCTGGCGACCCCCTGAAATGATCTTGGGAACCCCATGAGGGTCCCGACCCCCAGTTTGAGAACCACTGCTTGAATGCATCCAGTGAATGACATCCCATACCTGCTTCATCAGCTCTTCGTGTCCCACAGCTTTTCCAGTTGGAAGAAGATCTGAAAAACCCTAAAGTAGCGGCTGTGGTTAGTTTGAGGTTAATCAGCTGCTGTAATGGATGCTAATTATACTAATTAGTGTTTAACGATAGCTTGAATGTGATTGGTTGATTCTGATCACGGCTACATTCCCAATTTTTGATGATCCTGATTGTTTTTTGCCTTAATTTCACAATAAAAGCAGAAGATCTCCTGACGTGATTTGTCTTGATTTATTTTTCTTTCAGCATCACAAAAACCTTCAACTAAACAGGTGTGTGTTGACTTTTCATATCCAGGTTGCAGCGACTTGTACTTTCTATTTCATACAGCCACAACATTGCACTTTTTTTCTACTGAATTTGTCAAGTTCACAAGTTATGATCCACTGTTTTAGACTGAAAGTAGAAGAACACAATTCACAAGACTACAAAGCACCGAAAAACAACTGAATAAAACTGATTTTTTTAAAGTTATAAATAAGCACCTAAGCTGGTTTAAACGGAGCGTCATGAGTTTACGTGGCACCACTTTGCTCTCCTTCCATAATTTCACACTTGTTCTGTCTGAAACAGGGAAAAAACCCTTCCTGGTGCCATTTGCCAGCTCCAAATGTCATTTAATCCCACTTCTTTAGCCCACATCATTAGCATTAACAAGCCACTTAGCAAAGGTTACGTCCCGTGTTCTCTTTTAGCTCAGATTTTTACCCATTCTGAGGGAAAGTACGGCTCCATGTGCTCGACTTCGCTCAACAGTTGGTCTAGAAGCAGACAGTGTAGTTTCATTAGAGCGTTTCCACTGAAGGCTGCTGCTTGCTGTTGAGGTTGAATGAAAACAGTAAAGCTGCAGGTTAGAAAAACAAAACAATCAGCTTAAAAATGCTCAAAAATAACTCCGCATAGATAAATCTTTGAGTTTCCATTATTCCAGGTGTCTCAGATGATATTTTGTGACCCCCTACTTGACATCAAACTTTAACGTTAGTGCGTTTTTCTCACATGCACCTGGTGAGTCGCTGCCCTGGACATTTTATGTTTATCACCTGTGGGCTACCATAGCTCAGGCTCGTGACAGCAACATCAATTAGCAACATTCGTCACTTGACATGTGATTCGGGAGAGTCACCGAGTGGAGGGAACATACATCCTGTCACCCAGTGCAAATGCATGTTTTGTTCTATTTGTGTGAAAAGCTCTCCTCCACCATGAACTCCAATAAGTCAAATTTCAGGTTCAAACTTACTGATGAGCATCTTCAGGCCAAACTGAGGGTCTCAGTTGTTTCCTCCCTCCAGCCCAATGTGGCTCAGCTGTGTCAGAGGAAGCGCTGCCAGGTCTCTGGCAGCAAGGAGGAGGTAAGAGGAGCCCATGTTCTGAAGAACCATTTAAGAAGATTGGATCAGTTGTACCTTTTTATTGAACACTTGAAACCCTTCATTGGGGGATACTCGATGCGGCCCAGCCTCACCCAGACTCTACCTCCAGGGGACCCCGGTAACTTGAGTTTGAGACCCCTGACTTGTTCCTTCATGGTTGCGTTGGTCAGAACTACTTGTAACACCCGACTCATAAAATGTGAAGCGTCGCCTCACGATGAAGCCCCACAGGTCTTGTTTTAAGCAGTTTAACAGTAAAAATGACCAAAAGTTACTTATTCAAAGATGCTGAATTTTTCAACAAGGAGCTTTTAAAAGTTTTTCACGAGTTAAATGAAGCTTTTTGGGGCCAAAAACCATATGAGGCATAATTTATGTCTTCATGCGTGACTGGAGGGGGATGTTAGGTTAAAGCTTCAACGCTGTGTTATTACGACTTTTACTCAAACTGGTAGAGTCCAAAGAGAGGAGAGTTAATCATTAAAAACCCAAACATCAACCTCATACAAAACACAGTTTATTCGACAGTGTCTAGGTCCAAGTACCAACAGACCCCATACAAAATAAAAAAAACAAAAAAAAAGAAAGAAAAGAAAACAAATGCTACAAAGAACAGAGATAACTTCCATCTACACAAAACTTCTCCTTAAAAATACATTACCATTAACACAAAAGAAAAGGTATCGATTAAAGATAATATATGTAAGGGGGGAGTCCCGTCATATTTAGGTGATATTACATAACAAGCCTGGTAGGATGTTGAATGGGACAAAGGAGGGCACGGCGAGTGAGAGCGCGAGTGAATGATCGTACGTGTGTTTTGTTTTTTTTTCTTCTTCTTCTTCCGACAGACCGTGAGAAGAGGGCAATGGTGCAGCAGTCGTGTGGGCAGGCGAAAGAAAAAGAGATAAGAGGAACAGAATAGAAAGGAAAGAGGAACGAGAGGTAGCGAAGGGGTGCGCAGAGAGGTAGCAGATAGCAAGAGGAAGATTTTCTAGAAGAGGTAGCTAGCGGATGAACGAGGAAGAGGTAGCAGAGATACTAACAGTGCTAGCGAAGAGGGGGAGAGGAGTCAGCTCAGGTTCAGACTTCACATTAAAACGACCTCGCGTGGCGACTGTGACGACAGGTGAACTGTGTTTAAAGCCAACTTGCTCGTTAACCTTAAATTCAAGGTGATTCAAGTATCGTGTGGAAGGGGGAATATCGTCAACTGGAGCTGAAAGTGATTATCTGACAGAACAACAAACTTTTTTTTCCTCCTCCTGAACATTATAAGCAGACGTCTGAGCATCTGTTTGCTCAACTGCTGTTTCAAATATCAAGTTTCAATCCAAACTTTTTGGCCAACGAGGACAAGAAATCCTTAAAATGCTCAGAAACATTGTGGATTTAACCACAGACAAACAAAAAAGCTTCTGATGGACTGTTTAGCCAACAGCTTAATCAGAATTAAAGAAGAAAAATATCAATTTTAAGCCAATTTTATCTCCTTTTTTTCAGTTTTATAGCTTCTGGTTGGACATTAAACACTTAACCGACAATGAAAAGAAAGAAGCCGCATCTAGGCATCATTTTATTATTCTACTGATGATTTTCTCGACTTATTCAGCTTCAAAAGACAAAGAAAGAAAGTTAGAAGATGTGAAAAGCGAAGCCCAACTGTTGAATTTTAAACCGCCGACGGTCTAAAATATTCGATTGCTGATCATTTAAGAAAACCGAGAAGCTGGAACTCAGGACTGTTTGGCAAAATAGTGTCTGAACGTTGTTTTTTTTAAATCTCGCTCATCGTTTCAGCTCAGTGGTTGCTCCCCTTGTTTGTTTTTCACTGACTGCAACATCACAGGACGCAGCATCCGAGGACTAAACGGTCACGATTTGCTTCGTAGCTCAGTGTGTTTCTGCGCATCGACACGCAGGAGTTTGGATATTGCTGAGTTTTACAGTGGCTGGAAAGCGATGCGAAAAAGTAGAGGGGTGGGGAGGGGGGGGAGTGTTAGCGAGGTAGGCAGCACTAGGCGGTAGGTGAGGAGAGAGGCGGGGTTTAATCGCTACAGTATCAGCACCTAAAAACATCTAGAAGCCCACCGCGCCGAAGAAGAGCGTCGTCATGTTCTGATGCTTCAGCCGCATCACAGCGTCTCCCCGTCTGTAAAGGCTGCGTGAAGGTCAGCAGGAGATTACGTGTGTGTGTGTGTGTGATGTTGTGTGTCTAAGTGTGAGTGTGTGTGTGTCTCCAGTGCTTTGTGGCAGGGTCTGGCCAAGTCGGTGTGTGCATGCAGCCTCCAGTGTTCGCCTCAGCTTAGCTTACATTTCTGTGTGTGTGTGTCGCAGCGCTGCGGGTGGTGTGACAGAAGGAGGAACGATGGCCGCCTGTCGCCGGTCCGGTGGTCGGACCAAGGCCCCGGCTTGTGCCTCTCGTGTCATTTAGATCTGAAACTTTTACCCAAAAAATGCAATAAAAGACCCAAACCAAGAACGCTCCTCTGTGCTGCAGGGCTCAATTGTTATTCAAATCAGTGAGCCTTGCTGTATCTTAGAGCACCAGATTAATCCGCAGCTGAAAATAGATCCAGACTAATGCATTTTCTTTTTTCTCTTTTTCCTGTTTGATTTGTGAGAGTTTTAGTAGTGTGTAGCCTTTCCATTCACATTTACATCTTCAGTTAAGGTCAAGAAGTACTAAGACACTTGTTTTGGTTTTTTCATGGGATGTGTTGACAACAACAAAATATATAAATATTAATAATGCCAGCTTTGTAATTTGAAATGTAACAGGAAAAACAAAAACCCCAGTCGATAATTAAGACAAAGCTCTTTACATCCTGTTGAGACAAACGTTTCCCTTAACGAAGGGCAGCTTAAACCTGGACGCGGACACAGTTAAGTAGCATTAATTTACAGCTGCCATCTTTGTTTGGGTCAAGACACGAGGACGCGCTTCGTCAAACAGATTAGAGAACTACTTTCCTGCAGACGTGAGGATTTGTCTTTATCACATTTGCACTTTCGTTTCAACTAGTGCAGAAGAAAATTTACTTCGTACATATACAGAAAAAAGAAAAAAGGCACAAACCGCCATCAAACAGCCCTCTGTCTAACACACACACACATTCACAGACGCACACACGCAGAACTACAGTGTATGATTTAAAGAGGAGCGAGAGGTAGATACTCGACAAGACAAGAGCGAGGGCAGGCTGGGTCCTCTGTGTGTGTGTGTGTTGTACTCGTGTTATCGTCTCAACAATTAGCTTGCCTCCTGTGTGTGTTTGTGTGTGTGTTACAGCTGAGCACACACACACACCCCTGCATGTCTGACCGGTCTCACTAGCTCCCCCTAGTGTTTGTCCTGGAGAAAGAGGAACCAGACAAGAAGAGGTGTGTGTGTTTTTGTTGTTGTTGTGAGACGGGAAGGGTTACAGTGTCATTTCAAACAGCACTAGAAAGAGGGCAGGAGGAGGAGGAGGAGGGGAAAAAAAGGTGAGACAGATATTGTTTTTTAAAAATCTGTTCCGTCTCCTTTGTTCCGTTTTCTGTACACAGGGTCATTCTCGCCAACCTCCGAGCAGAAAACAGTGTTTATCACTAGACGACCCTTGCCGCTGTGCCCTGAGAGGAAGTCTGCACGTGTGTGTGTGTGAAGAGTCGGGTTACCTTTGCCACTGAACCCTGAGTGTGTGTGTGTGCGTTTGTCTGGGTGTGTGTGTGTGTCCTGTGATGATGTTTATGGTAGTTTTGAGTGTTGAGGGGGGAAAAAAATATCGAGCCAGTAGCAAAGGCCATCAAAACGGGGCTGATGCTCAGAGACAGAGTTAGTTGTATGCATGTGTGCTTCTGTGTGTATTTGTGTGTGTGTGTGTGTAGGTCTTAGTTGTCGGCCACTCGTCCACTCTGAGGCGCCGGAGGACCCACGGGAGCCACGGGCATCGCTTCAGGCTGTGCAGGTGGTGGGCCGGGGTCTGGGAAGAGGGAAGATGCTGTTTTTAGTGCAAGACATAAAGGTCGCTCAGTGGGTCTGAAGTCTGATCGGTTCTGACATAAAAACGTCTAGTATCCTCTGCACAATAGGAAAAGGGACAATAGTGGTTTGGTTTCACTGTTCACAGGTCAAAAACAAGCACAGCTTTAGGGAGAGTCGTCAAATATATGTTGTTTAAAGGCTTTAAAGAGACCATGTGCTTTGAATTACTGGCGTTGACATCACAGCAGCAGACAGTCCAGGTTCAACGTGGCTCTTTATCTCTGCCTCTTAACCTTCAGGGGCAGTTTTAATTCCTAAAGAGAAATAGATCTTTAAAGGTCCACCTTCACATTTTGTTAAGCTCATCGCTGTTTTGTGTTGATGCAGGCAAGAATGAAGCAGCTGCTTCTTGAAACATCAGCCAATCTGCATAATGCTCTCAAAGCTATAGACTGAAAACCCAGATAAAGGGCTTAAAGGAACTAGTCGGTGGTTAAAGTACCCACTAAGGCTGATGCTTTTTTATCTTGAATTTTAAAAAATAAGTTAATTGTCAACCTTAAACTAACGTGTAATTTGTTGAAGTGTACAGGAATCCAACCAGTTGGACTTCAGGGTCCGTCACGTCCATCTGCTGGTACTGGACCACTCAGTCTAGTCTTATCACTACGTGGTGTCATACCGCTGCGCTGGGTCTTCAACAGGCACACAGGATAACATTGTTCCACTCATTTCTGGTGCCTTTGCTACGTCACTTGAACAGCAAGTCCTCAGATTTGTTTTGTTGAAGCAGCAACTTTTTACGAAGACGACAAACTTTCCAAACTACAGCCGAGCTCCCAGAACATCTCGACACGCTTCTCCTCAGATGGTTGAGCGGCCATCCAATCGGCACGCCTTTAGCAGCTACTGTCCTCCATTTTATTTATTATTTTACGACTGTATGCAATAGGTCAAGTTGTTGGTGAACTTTAAGAGCGCCCTCTGCTGGACAACGAGCCAAACTACTTCAAAATGTTTGTTGCACGAGGAGCAAAAAATGTAACATTGGGATTTTATTTTGGTTCCGGTGGGAGAACAGGATGTCCAATAAGTTTGGTGGTTCAATCCTCGGACACTTTACATGCCAGCGTGTCCTTTCACAAGACACTGAACCACCAAGATGCTCCCAATGAGTTCCCAAAGAGGTGAACACCTTGTAGTTCAGCTTCACCATTATTAGTGTAAAAAACACTTTTGAGGGGTTTTGGTTGCCTCTTGGTTTGCACGTTGCTATCCTTTTTCGTTGCATGTTTACAGGCCCCTATTACAACGGCTGCTTGTGTCACTTTCTCCAGGCGATGAGAATTCTGGAAAACCTCTATTTAGAGTGATCCAGAAATATCAAAAAGGAAAACTTTGGTTAACAAACTCCATTTCCTAAAGTGTCTATAAGCAAACAGCGACTATAGCACAGGTGGAAACACAAACACAACAGCTGTCAAAGACTTACAAACATATCATTATGCTGCTGCCTGATTGGCTGCAAACTAAAAAAAAAAAAGGTTGTAGACATTATGCAAACTACTGCCTCGGTTTGTGATGTGATGCTAATAAGCAGCAATGATTTGAATGTTTAGCTGCAGCTGACATTCAAAGTAAATACCAGCTGTCAGCTTTGGGTCACAGTAATATTTAGATTGCCAGAATCCCTTTTTCTGTTTTTTTCTTTGGCCGTGAGGGATTTTAGAAACATACCCCACAGTGTAGGGTACGCCGGTTTTGGTCAATTAAATGTGTACACAACAACAACAAGAATAAATCACCATGCATTTGCTTGATGCTCTGATATATGCAGACAAACAAGTCTTGTACATAAACACACACAATGCAAACATGATGAGAAGGTTTTTGTACTCACACATGCCGTTGGGAGCTCCAGGGTGGCGTGGAGGCATCATGGGAGGCATGCCACCAGGAGGGGGGCCAGCAGAGGGCGGACCGGACATCATACGTCCCGGCATCGGCTGGCCTGGTCCCATCGGTCCTGTAGTGTGGAGAGTATGGAGGAGACAGGTCAGAGACAGGGAGGTTTGGGGAAGAGGACGAGGGATCGAATGGGAGCTATGAATCTAATAAAACCTTCATCAGCCATTTCAAACCAGAAACAAAACACAGCGTGGCATTTGATCCAATGAAATCCTTAAAACAAGCTATAATATTTCACAGAACATTCCCTGAGCAGTGGAAGAACTTTTCCTGTTTTAGGTCTGCTAGTTTTGTAACATAAAGCTGTCTCCCCGTCACACACGGTATGTCCTGAAACACCTGCACTGTTTTCTAATCTCCTACCTGTCTGGCCTGGGTGGTGAGGGGCCATGGGGTGGTGACCCATTGGGGGGTAGCCAGGGTGCATTGCCGCCCCAGGAGGGGGCCCTCCGTGGTGTGCTGGGGGTGCTCCGTGGTGGGGAGGTCCTCCATGGTGTGGTGGGGGTCCTCCAGGGTGCATGCCCGGTGGAGGGGGCCCAGACTGGGGTCCAGATCCAGGCGCCTGCCCCTGTCCCTGGGCCTGGGCGGCGGCAGCGGCTGCAGCGGCGGCTTGCTGCTCCATCTGCTGCCTCGCCTTCATCTCTGCGTATCTGAGCTGCTCCATGTGGAACGCCTGACGCTCGGTGAGCAGCTGCTGCCTCTGAAGCTCCAACTGCACAGAGAGACGCAGACAGCAAGAAGAAAACGATTAAATGAAGACACTTGTGATCACCAACAACAACCGCCACCCATCACCAAAGGCTGGTGACTAACAGGATTCTACGTGCAATGCCTCGATAAAGTAGCTTCCGTGCTGGCTAGCTAGCTGGCCACATTGACAAAACGCAGTAGACCTACAGATTATACACTGCCTCTGCTTTAGACGGCTTCATTCATTGCTTGGCCAACTTATTAATACTGTGGCTATGTAGGCTCAACCATCCCCCTCTGAGGAAGAGGAGAACTCCAATGATGTTCATAAAAGAGCATCACTAATGACACAGAGAAATTTCAGAAACAAAATCCATGAAAAAAACAACGACGACTGAGACGATATAATGCACAAACTACAAGTAAAAAGTTTTACCACCTTGGAACTGGATCTAAAACGAAGCTAGCAGTCTGGAGGCATCCCTAACGTGATCTGCCTCTGAAATTTTCACAGCAACCCCAACACAACAGAGCGGAGGGAATCTGACTTCCTAATACTGACAGCATTGGAAAATTATGCTAAAAAAAAAAGAATCACCAGCAGCTTGTCTTTGCAGAAACAGTACTGTGGTCCCTCTAGATAAGATTTACATAGCTGACCGCAAAGTGTTGTTTCTGTGTTTGAAGGCACAGGGGTGAATCTCTCAAAACCTCAACATATAAAACAAAACCTTTGCATGGCTGGATTCAAATAAGGCCAAACAGAGAAGAACTGCCTTTCATTGATTTGGGTAAAGTACTTCTTGAAGCCTTTATTGCAGAACTGTTGGACAATCAAAAAGGGAAAAGAGGGTTCATTTCAGCGCCTGCTTCCATGCCTGTAGATAAGACGGAGAACACGCGGTTCTGTGAAGTCTTAGCACTCTGTATAAAACTGTTTTGGTTTTCTTTGCAAAACTGTGTGGCTCATTGTTGTTTTTAGAGGTTCAGTGTTTTATGGCTTATGGCAGCAGCGGCAGCAGAAGGTTGGTTCCTCTCCAGTCTCCAAAAAGCTTCTTTAACCAGAGTCCTTTTCATGCACCGTTTACAGCTGTGAAACTGGGCTACGCTCCCGACGCCGCCACCGCGAAAACACAGTTTTATGCTCCCACTAGCGTCTCCAGGGATTGTCCGGGGCAGAACACACACACACACACACACACACACACACACACACACAAGAGCAAGGAGTCATTAATTTGCCCAGTTGAGGCAAGAAACACTTTGACTTGCCTCACAAAGTAACTGCTCCGCTCTGGAAAATGTTTTATTGGGAGCTCACAAAGAAATTAATGCTGGGTTGTCTCTGTCGTCTCTGGGGAAGATTTGGACGGAGCAGCTTGTTGAGAGGTCACAACATGCTGATGGACTAAATATTTACCGGCTACTCGTGTAAATATAGCAACCACAGACTGTGTGATCCTGGCTCACTTCTGGATAATACTAAAACAAAAAGTGTATTTCATTTAAATTAATTAAATAGTTTCCTATTGTTGGACATTTCTTTGTTTTTGAAAATTGTTTTCAAAGTCTTTATCTTCAAACTAAACCTTTTTAAGGCCGATCTAATACTTCTAACAAACAAGACAGTAAATCAAAACTTGGTCAGAACAGAGGTGAGTTCTTCAGCAAAGCACAAACTTTCCTGATTTTTGAGTTTCCCAAACAGACTTGTGTATACTTAGCACTAATATAGTGGATGGGGGGCTTAAATCCTCATAAAATATTAACATTTGGGAAACCCATTCAGGTAAATAACCAGCCAAAAGAAGGTATGTTTTGCTTTAAATTTGAACCAAATGTCTAGGATTAACTCACTATTTAGAGCCATGTTATTGCATAAAACACAGAAACTTTAAACACTGAATGCTGTCTGTGAAGATTCTCAGTCATCCAGGTTATTCTTGTATGAATGAGTTCCTTGAAGGCGTTTCACCAGTTCCAGATACTTATATCCTAAAGGAGTCATTAACACCTGAGTTTCAGTTTTAATTGGGGGTTTGTTGCTCCTCCCCCTTGTTAGTGGGGTTCGTTAGACACTGAATACTGTTAAATGGACCTATACCTTAGCGGCGCTCAAAGCGCTTTACAATGTGTTTCTCATTCATCCATTCACACGCATTCATACACCAATGGTGACAGAGCTGCCATGCAAGGTGCTGCCTGCCATTGGGAGCAAGTTCAGGTTCAGTGTCTTGCCCAAGGACACTTCGACTGTGGAGGGGCTGGGGATCGAACCGCCAACCTCACTGCTCTACCACCTGAGACACAGCCGCAAATCACGAAGGGTTGCAGTTGTGGTCATCCAGCTCGTTTGACAGAGTGTTTAAACTGTCGTGTGAATGGTTTTAAAAATTCATGACGTCCTCTTTGTCATGCTTTTAGTAATATCTCATGTATAAACACCCCATCACATGTTAATAAATAGTTCAGGCCTTGTTCACAGAGTTTCTCAGTGATTGGAACGTATTATTCTGCCACAGAGAAAAGGTATTTACAAAGAATAAAAACATTTTAATGTTGTCTCCTGATGTCTTTACTGCTGAAATTAAAACGGGGAGTAAATCTGTTAGAATGCCAGGAATTATGGCTCTCAACAGGGCAGAAAAATACAAACCGTCAGAAGAAAACGATCCTGAGCGCTTTAAGAGATTGACAGGAGAGAGTGTGAGTCTGACTGACAAACTACAGAAATGGTGGATTTACACGGCCTAATCCTAACCGATTCCATGTTATGCAAATACAAAGGCAAAGGATTAAATGATGACTGATCTGCTTGGATTATTGGTAATTTAGGAAAAGTTTTCCATCAGGCCATCATCCTTTCACCAGGCAGATACAGTATTTGGGATGCAGTTGGCAAAGCTCTTGCTAAAAAAAAGCTGTTATTAAACTTTTTTTAATCTCTCCTTGCTCTTATTGTTTGGAAAAAATAAACCCACATTCACAATAACTTTGCAGGCCCCATTTTCTTACTCAGCACTGACTGTTACCTTTACCAGTTGAGACAACATCTCAGCTTTATTTAGCTGCTATCATTACAGCAGCTAATTAACGCTTATTCATAACTGTTATAATTAAACTTCTGACTGATTGTTTACATTGTACAGATTGTAGTCTGGTTAACATGCTGTCTATATGTTGGTAATCTATGTTCCAGTTTCTGAGAAGAAAGAAATGCCGTAGCTTGACAAGGCCAACAGAAGCTTTCATTCATGTCAATCACTTAAGGTGGTTTGCATTAGGACCTCCAGTATTTGATGCAAGTAGCTAATAAAGAAATATGGTGGAAAAATAAGAAGGGTAAATCTAAACATATCAGACAGATGTTTAATTAACATGTCTATAAGAAACTGAACACCTCAGTGTTGGTCAAAATACAGTCCAGTGTGCTCTTCACTTCCTGATAAATGCATGATATTAAGCCATCTGACTTTAAATGTGAGTAGTTTGTAAATGTGTCTTTTATATAGCCACATTAAAACTGCACTAACTGCAGGAGGAGCTCCAGTTAACGTCATTATTTACTGACCCACAACATCCACATTTAATCTCGACTCTCTGGCACAGCAGCATCTTTCTGACTCACCGCCTCTTTCTCGCGATCCATGATGGTCTCCAGCTCTTCGAAGTGCCTCAGCTTGATCTCCAGCTTCTTCATCTGGGTCTCCACCAGCAGAGCGACCAGGGACTTGATCTTTCTCTCCTCCACTGCTGCTAAGTGCTGAGAGGAAGAACACACGCAGATCATAAATATCTAATAATCAAAGGCCAAACGCCTGTTACACTGCAATGATATCATGAGGTTCAGAGCACATATTTGGACTTATTGACTTGAGTTTGCTGATAAATTCTCTGCTGGAGATCTACCTTTTTAAATATTTCCTGCTTTGCAATTTACTCATGTTTAGAAAAAAATTCAGTGTTCCATATTAATGAAACTTTGTGGTACAGAAAAGCAACACAAGACACTGACAATAGCGGAATCAGAGATTTTGAGTAGATAAAAGTTTTGTTTGACTTTTCTTCGTCGGCACTCCTGCAGCCTCACCTTGGCCTTGGTGGCAGCAGATGCCAGGGCAGCAGCAGCTGCAGTGGCAATGTTTCCCTCGCCGATGTCATGTTCCAGCTTCTTCCTCTTGTCCTCGCCCTCCTCCGTCACCGCCTTCTCCTCCTTATCCTTCTCCTGCTCCGAGGATGACGTCTCCATAGTCTCCTCCTTGTCCTTGTCTGATGTGGATGAAGACAGCAATTTTAAAAGTGTTTTCTGACTCCCACCTTCAACATATATAATGTCCTTCTGCACTTGTTGTATAGAAGTTTTAAAGGACATGCGCTGAAAACATTGACCAAGCAGTTGTGGGTGTCGTCTGTATTGGATGTGAAGCTCAAACAATAAGGTAATATATCCACAAATAATCAGCTGTTCAATTTAAAGAGCCCCTACTGTAAAAATCAAGTTGGTAATATGGTGTTTTTATACGCTATAAGACGCATCTGTGCAAAGTACTTCCAACTTTAAACTGCAGTGTATTGATGACAGTGACAGAAACTTGCAGGGTGGGGCTTTTTGTATTATAACTCTTCTTCAGAATCAGTTTTAAACAAGTATGACTGAATTACTACAATATTATAGCTGGTGGTTGTGTGGTTTAGAGTTGTTTTACAGTGTAATTGCAGAGGCATGTGTGGACACAGAGGCAAGGCATTCCATTTTTACCAAACCATTGTAAAACAGAAAGGGATTGTATTTATGAAGGGGGGCATTTAATGATGTTTTTTTAACCAACAATTCCAAGTGTGGCCCATTTCTAACTGTTTAGTGAGTGTACTTGCTGCCTTTCTTCATTTCCTGTTGTAGTAAACTCAATATCTTGTTGACATCACAATGGCTTTAGGATACTGTGGGGGCCGTTTATCACTACTTCCTGACATTTTATAGACCTCAACGTTTATGCTTATAAGTCTGATGGACATTTTCTTTCATTCTGTCAGTGTTACCTGCTGGAGCTGTCTTGGCCTCCCCTCCCTCTTCAGTCTCCTCCTCGCGTTCCGATGTCTCTGTTCCCTCCTTCTTCACCTTTTCCGTCGCCTCCGTCTTGTCGCTCTTCTCTGCAGACTCGCTGGGCTTCTCTGCCTCGTCCTTCAACTCGGCCTGAAGGGTGAGGAAGCAGACAAACAATGATGAGAACCCACGCAGAGGACACGAGGCAAGGCTTGCGTTACAAGTCTGACCTTGAAGATCTGACTTGAGATTTGGGAAATACACGTGAGGTTTAGTGTCATCACTTGCTGCAGCATCTATCATGAGAGGAGCCACTAGCAAGCTCTCTCCAGGCCTCTGCCATTGGGAGTTCAATGCCTGGGTGAAAGAGGCGGAGGGTTGGGAGAGGGGTAAGCATGACCTCCTCTCAAAAAAATAAAGAAAAAAAACACCTCTGCTAAAGAAATGCAAGTAAGACCTACCAGAGGTTTACTGCATGAATACAAAAGGTGTCAGAAATTTGACAAACGGTTATCAACAGGTTAATAATCCTGCTTAGCGAGTGGCTGCTGTCACACTCAGGGCACATGGATTAATCAAATCTTGACCCCGTTCACTTTTGGGGAATGATCGCTGTGATTTGGACAAAGTGCCTGACTCTGGTTAATGGACGATAATGAGGAAGTCATCAGCCACCGAGCCTCCCAGCAGAGCTCGAACATTAGACAACGCCATTACATTCACCCGCTGGGCCTTTCCGAACCAGGAGACGAGGACAACATGCAGACGAGTGGAAAAAAATAAAGTTCAAGCATCACATGGGAGAAAGGACGAGTGAAGTGAATAGTAATGGAACGACTGGGAAAAAAGCAGCGTGAATGTCTGCAACGGCGCAAGAAGCCAATTATAAAAGATATTCAACATGAACGCTTCTAACTGCTGATCCATGTCAAGGTCACGCACAGTCTGACAAAAGCACATGATCTGAGACTCTGTTCTAAAGCGACACTTAACTGGTCACAGTTAGTCTTGACATTTTGAGGCATAAATGCAGGAACTCATGCAAATATTTCCACATTGAGTCTGGTGATAGCTTGCATTGTTCTAATTGCCCACATTTCAATGAATGAAAGGTCCAAAACCAACAATGTATTCAAATCATATCTGTGCTGTCAGAGTTTGATCTTCTCGTGGGAGTTAAAACAAAAGGTGGTCTCACCTTATCGGCCTGCTGGGAGTCTGAGTCTGTGTCCATCTTTTCTGGCTCTGTGGTTTCTGGAAGTGACAGAAAAATCAGCATTACTCACACAAGAAAAGACACACACACAATACTGTAAAGAAAAAAACCTGCATTTGTTGATTTACTAAACAACATCAACAATGATGTTTTTGAGGAAACATTGGTTAGAAACAGTTAAAGTGAAGAGACGTGAAGCGTGTGAACATTTGCACAAACGGCCAAGCACACGTGACCGAGCGAGTACATGTGCGCGGCTGAGTGTTAAACCGTGTCACCGGTGCGCTCCAGTGAGTGTTAAGGGTTTGAATATTGATTGCGTGTAAAGTGGAGTGCTTCAGGCCGAGCGAGGCGTGGAACACATTTAAGGTTATTGATTATAATTGTGGCTCAAGAGGGCATTAAAGTCAGGCATAACACATGACTGCTGTTTTGTTGGCGTGTCTGTGGGTGTGGGTGGTGTGGGGATAAAAGCAGGAGGGAAAAAAAAAAAAAAGACTGTTTTCAAGAAAGCACAAAGCAAAATAGAGAGAAAGCGATAAGCGCATGGCAGTGTGAGATGACCCAGTTTTCTGCTCCCCCTCCTCCCACTCCCCTGCCCCATCTGCCACCGTTGTTTTAATCCACCGGTTACCACAGCAGCACACACACACACCCACACACACACACACACACACAGATTCCTGTATTGCTCAAAGCTTGCTGTTGAATACAGACATGTGCATCACCTTCCACTGTCAACAAACACTCATCATCTCCGCCTGATATTCTGGAGACGATAATCATTCCAGGAAAAAAAAATAGGATAAGACTAAATGACAGAGTGATGACTTTGTTCATTCCTCTTTAGCCTTGACATCTCCTCACACACACACACAGCAGTAATCTGCATCGATGAGGCCTCTCCCTGCCCAGTAGCCTCCTCGTGATGCTGCTGCTATCTGCTGCCCTCCAGTGGCTGCAGACATCACAAAACCACCCAACCCCTGGGAAGATACCCGATGATACTTGGAAATAAATCCTTGTCACAGGTATTGCACTTTTATAACCCTTTTATACATGCGATAGAGATCTTCCAGGTTGGTTCGGAGACGTGAATCTCACTACCGTTACTACACCTGGACACAGGACACTCACCAGTCTTTTCTGGCTCCTCAGGGGCAGTTCCAGCAATGCCGCTGCTCTCCAGGCCAAAAGCGGGGTCCACCTTGCCAGTGCTCCTGGCGGCTTCCTGCACCTTCTTCACGTGAGCCTCCACCAACTCAGCCGGCACCTCCTCACGCACACGAGAGAACTCCTCTGCAAAAGATCATCATCAGTTCCTAACTGCCATAATATGACGATTCTGTTGATGATTTCATGTAGTGTTCAGATAGTTCCCAGATTTTACTGTCTGTCCATTTGTGCAGTTTATTAGCCACAATGTGCAGATTTTAACCACAGTACGAGCAACATCTTCACAGTGTGTGCAGTTGCTCTGTCAGTTTCTTGTCAGCTCTGATGTATCTGTGGTTGTCTTTTCTTTCTTGGCTTTCTACATATATTAATTAGATTCAAACAGCTGGACCAATGCTAATTTCCCACCAGGCTGGATGTTTTCTTTTTAACTTGGAGAGAAACAGCTTAAGCTTAACGGCGAATTTGCAACCGTTTATCCTGTTGCTGTTTTGGTTGAACACACATTTGACATGACAACACAGTTTACTGGTTAAACTGTAATAATCCAATTTAAGTTTAAACCGTCTAATGCCATAATATTGATATTCGCACAGTAATTCATGCAACAATCCTTTTGGAGATTCAACAGGACTGTAAAATATATATATGCTTCTCAATGGTGAAGAATCTGAATTTCCAAAGTCACAATTGTGATTAGAAAAAAATAAATAAATAAAAATTCACATTTAGCATCCAATCATAGTAGTTCTATTTGTTTGGCTGCACAAAGCTGCTAAACGTACTGAACCTGAATGTACAGATATATTATTAATGTCGCTGCTTCTATGTTGGAATTGTAGTTCTAATATATAGATAGATTTATCACAGGAAGATTTGACCCAGAACATCTCAATCTTAAATGAACAATGCAGCGCTGCAGCTCTTAGCTTCCTCTCACCAGTCCTTACCTAGTGCAGCCTTGGCAGCAGCAGATGCCACTCTGGGGTCGACTACTGAAGCCAAGAAGGCTACTGTGCTCATGACAGGGTTTCCAGACTGGCTGAAGGGTATGGGCTGGTAGGCCAGAGGGCCCAGGGACGTCTCCGTGCTTTCCAGGTACGGATCTTCAATGGGGAGCCGCAAGAAGTGCAGGATACACTCGTCTTGGGTGCGTGAACCCACATGCTCCGACACTTTGTTCCAGTCGTCTTTGTACATCTCCAGGGCCTGGAAGATGGAGTGAGGACACAAAGCTCAGTCACGACATTCTGTATGTGTTTCCCAGGCAAATGAACAGTTGGAGGGCAATCAGAGATTAGAGAGGCGTGAGGTGTACGAGACAGAAATGACGGTACACAAGACTTTAAGAAAGAGCCAGGTGTGTTTGAAAAAGGTAGACTTATAAAGCCAGGAAGGATGAGGCAAGAAGGGTGTAAGGATAACAGCTGACACAAGAATTAAGAGTGACAAGGAAATAAAACAAAGATAAAAAGGCTGGCAGTCAGTCGGTAGAGTGAAAAAGAGACGGAGGGCAATTACTATCTTGTGTCTCGTCACTGTTATTGGCATCTGGTTGTTTCAATTTCAGAGCTAAGAAGTAAAACATCTTTGTAGTATTGTACAGGGTTCTCCGTTTTTCTGTCCTGTGGGACTCACCTCCAGCAGCAGTAGAGTCTCCTGCTCGGTCCACTCCCTGGTGGTGGTGACTGCTTTACCCTGTAGGGAACAGAAGCCCAGTCATCTCATAAAGATGTGCAACAGAAAGCAGGGAGCAGTATTTGAAGCAGACTAGCAAACAAAGACATTATTATCCATCTAAATGAAGTATGTCTACTCCATGTAGCTGTTTTATAATAAACTCACAAGCTCACAGCGAATCGCACTATCCTAAATAAGGGAAAGGTGTTAGAGATGTTGATGCAGACCTTGATGTTTTTCTTGTAGAGATCAGGGCGAAGGCCAAAGTTCTGCAGGTCAATGGCCTTGTCTTTGTCTTTGCCTACGAAGTTGGGCATCGGCTGCGGAGGAGGAATCTGGAGGAATCAAACCCAGAAGCAATTTATCAACAACGTTTGCACAGAGCTGTTTTAGTATCGATACTGTTTTACAAGTAAAGCTAGTCGTGGAAACAGTACAAAATGTAATGCTGGGTGGAAGGCAGAGAGAATAATGTGGTGCATTTTTGAGCAGATGTACATGTGAAAAACAACCCCCCCTTCAGTGTTTTGAATGAAAATACACTGCAACTATTTTCGCAATCAATACAAGTCTCAAATATTCTTTGGTTTCAGCCTCTCAAAAGTAAGAGTTGCAGCATTATGCAAATGGAGACATAGATAAGCAACCGAAGAGAAGCCTGGACTGAAACGAGGAACGTCAGGCAGGTGAGGAGCAGTGTTTTTGGTGGGAGAGAATAACTCCCTTTTGTACAGATTCTTGGTTTTTACAGACTTTTTTACAAGCACAATAAAATTATGACACAGAAAACCCTAAAAAGCACAATATGTCCCCCCTAAAGTCCACTTTCTCTCTCCCCGTTTAGGTTTTTCTTACCGGCGGGGGTCGGTGGTTGAGGGGCATAAGGCCAGAGGGCGTATCAGCCAGCACAGTGAAGTGGGGTGTGGGTGGGGGGCCCATGGGCAACGGGCGACTGTCAGCGTCCACCTGGTAGTTCACCAAACCCCACTGCTCGAGGAATGCGTGTACCCTGGGGAAAGACAGCGATGACAAATGGCACTCTTGTCCTCGTAAAAAGATAACATTTGGTAATATTAATATGATTGTTTGTTATTTTCCCAAACAGTGTAAAATGACCTAAACCAATAAAGTGACTTGTTTTGTTATTTGAACTGCTACAGCACTATTTATCTATTCTCAGCCCAACACTTAATCACCACAACCAATCGTGCATTGTGGCACAATCCAGGGAGTTAGCGCACCTCATGATGGCACAAACATCCCCAGTAAGGTTCCTGCGGCAGGAGGTGGAGGTGAGGTACTCCTGTGGGTTTAACCGATATGTGTCGATCATGAAGTTACGGTAGGCCAGGTATCTGTTTGGGAGTGGAGAAGGATTACAATGAGACTGGCGTTAGAGGAAACGCATTACTCTGAGAATATAGCAAACTGTGTGGCCAGTATGTGTGTGTATAAACTCACATCTCTGGAGTTTTGGACTTGTTCTTTCCATTGAAGAACTCAGGAAGGGCTCTTCTCTCAATCTCGTGGATGCTATAAAAAAAAAACACAATACAAATCAGAGAGGGAAAATGATACTCAATCCTTTACAATGATGAAAACCCAACTGTAGCTTCTGCCTTAATTAGAACCAAAGCTCATTTTCACTGCCGTATTAGTGGCAGTGACCTGCAAATATGTCATCAAGTGCATCTTTAATTCTAAGTCAAATTAAAAATTAAAGAAGATGCCGAGTAATGTAGCGCCTTCAAAGGTAAAATACCTCACTAACTCTCCTTTTCAAATTGAATTTCAAAGTCTGTTATCTCCCTCCACTCTTGTACTTACCCTCCATTGTGTTTGATTAGGTGGTAAATTAATACATGGACTTATAAGCCTTACAACCCTTTGTTACTACAGTGCAGGTTAAAGAGGTACAGGCCGAATGAAAAGTTGAAAAAAAGAGACATTCGTGTTGCAGCTGTGTTTATTCCAATTCCACAGCACTTACCAGTTGTAGTCAAACCACGCGGCGTAGCTGGGGATGATGATGTGGTGCGTCTGTTCGGTCACGTTGTCCTCGCTGGCGTCCATCAGTCGGTTGACTTCGCCTTTGCCTTGATCCTCATCGTCCTGCCGAGAGACAAAGAGTCAGACCAAGCCAAGAAATTTTAAAAAGTTTCTCAACATTGACGTGTTTGCTGCAAGAAAATGAAGATGATCTTATTGGATCTTGTTCTCACACATTCCTTCCTTCTCGCTCATGTCTACAGTGTTTTGTGTGACAGAGAGAGTCATCAGCTGTCTTACCTTTCCACCAGAGAGCACAGAATCATCTTCCATGTCATCTGGAAAACCATAAAACCAGTGTTCAGCTGACACGCTACTAACTGTTGCATGGCTAATACTCATTAATGGACTGAAATTATTCAACCCGTTAATGCAATTCATAAACAACTCAATACACAAATTCAATTACGGATACGCACCCAAATCATTCCCTCCTTTGACCGGAGTATTCTCGCTGTCTTTCTTTGAATTTGCTGCACATGGAACAAAAGAGGAAAAGATTAACAAAGAGAAGTATTGAAGGGGGGAGGAATAAAAATATTCAAAGACAGTCTAATTCAGCCGTGGGCATGGAGGCATTAACCGGCACTCTGCTTTGCAAAAGAGGACACTAAAATAGACTCAGTGTGTGTGTGTGTGTGTGTGTGTGTGTGTGTGTGCTGGTGAAAAAGGAGGAGATTTTTTTTTTGGGACAAAAGTGGGACATAGCAAATGGGACTCAGTCTAAATAGAGCATTTTCCGTCAGGGTTGTGTGTTTGGTTTTAAAGGAAATCTTTAAAGGGAATTCGGATCAAGAAAAGAAACCCATCCTCGGGCCGTCCTGCTGCTTTTCTTACTGGAAGACAGAGTGTCTGTATGCGAGAGTCAGAAGGTTTTTCTGGTGGGTTTTCTTGTCATCGCTATGCTCCGGTGTACGATAACCACAAAGGGAATCACAGACAATCCACCACAGATTTCCAACTTAAAAGCAACTAATTAAATCGGATCCTTTTTTTAAAAAGGACAAACAGGACAAAGACTAAATATGTACAGAAAAGAAATCAGTGTAACACTTAGAAAAGTGACTGAAGAGGAGGCTCAAAAAAGAAGTTCTGCCTGACATGGAAATGCAGATGCATGCGTACAATAGATTGAAAATACGTTTACATTAACATGTACAGGGTTCTGCTTATCATCACGGTTTGAATCTTGAACTGGGTCGATGCACCTGAATGATGCTCTTGTACAGAATGAAAGACAAACGCTGCTGTCCTCAGTCTCACAAGATCAACCACGAGATAACGTTTTATCATTAAGCATCTGATTATCGACCACTTAGACGCTCCTTGTTTTAGCTATGCATAATTTCCTGAATATGTTGAAACATAAACTGTAACTAAATTGTTCTTTGTATGGAATGTTGTTTTTATTTGCTTAAAAGCCTCTAATGTCTGTATTGTGGCCTTAAAACTGACCGATTTATGAGAACATCACAATCTTTCAATCTTAACTAAAAGCGCCAGAACATTGTTTATAGACGTGGTCTTGGCTCTTACAAACACAAGCAGCTGTGTGCACAACACATTTAGGTTAGATACTGTCCTGCAGTTTGCTGCATTCATTTTGGGAGCTTATAACTCTCAGTGTAAAAAAATCTCATTCCTATCATTCACATCTCATCCACTCTTTAGTGATCTGATACAGTCAACATGTGTCTTTGCCTATTGGCAAGCTGCTGAATGTTAAATCTTCCGTGGTGTTGCTAATGTTTAACTACAAATCGTTTGCCCTCAGGCTCACCCAGCTGGAAGAAGGCAGTCGTGCCAACTTTCTGCTCATCATTTATGCTGGCACACCAACCACAAACGCTGAAACTATCAAATAGATAATACAGGACTAATCTGCAATTTGCATCATCAGTCAACCGTTCAATCTTTTATTCCTACCATCTTTATTATCATTGTTAACTAAATGTATTTGGGTTTTGAAAAAAAGTATAGTGGGCTAGAGAAGCTCTTCTTACTTCTTTTTTTTTTTTTTCACATTTTCTAGATAAAACAATCAAAAACACGGTATTATTAATCATCCTTATATTGACCTTGACAGCACCTGCTTACATTTCCAGCAGCAGATCATAAAATGGATTCCTGGTAAAAATACAATTAACAACTTTTTGAAACTTTCAACAAACTGCTGCTTCAACCCAGCAGTTTAATGTGATCTGCAATAATGAAAGGGGGATTCCAGCTTCATCCCATCTCTCAGCACATACCATTCTTGGACATGCTGCCCTCCTCCATGCTGGCACCAGCCGAGGAGTCATCCAAGTCCTTTGTCATGTCCTCCTCGGTGTCCTCCTCTTCGCCTCGGTGGCCTCGTCGCTTCCAGTGAGGCCCTGGGTTCCTGACAGAGAGAGAGAGACAAGAAAATTATAGGTTATTTAAATCCAAGTGGAAACACTTCACAATTCAGCACATATTTATTTCTTAAATATAAAAAAAAATCTCAGCAAAAATTCAAACACAACAATGAATGAATCCTTCAAACAGGTATTGCCCGGGCATCGAATGCCTGATATATTCTATTTGTCTGCACCACAGAGCTTCATTGTTGTCCATAAACTATTAAAACACACCAGGGAGACTC